CATTATGCAGCTCAAGAAGATCCTGGTGGCCAATCGAGGCGAGATCCCCATCAGAATCTTCCGAACTGCGCACGAACTCTCCCTCCAGACCGTGGCTGTCTACAGCTATGAGGACAGACTGGGCATGCACAGACAAAAGGCGGACGAAGCATACATGATAGGCAAGCGAGGACAGTACACTCCCGTTGGTGCCTACCTGGCTGGGGAGGAGATCATCAAGATCGCTCTGGCCCACGGCGTTCAGATGATTCACCCAGGCTATGGTTTCTTGTCCGAGAACTCCGAGTTTGCTCGAAAGGTCGAGGAGGCCGGCATTATCTTTGTCGGTCCTTCTTACCAAGTCATCGAAGCTCTTGGTGACAAAGTCTCGGCCCGAAGACTGGCCATGAAGTGCGACGTACCATGCGTTCCTGGAACCGAAGGCCCCGTCGCCAAGTACGAAGAAGTCAAAGCATTCACCGACCAATACGGCTTTCCAATCATCATCAAAGCTGCTTTCGGTGGAGGTGGTCGTGGCATGAGAGTCGTCAGAGACCAAGAAAGCCTCAAAGATTCGTTTGAGCGAGCTACCTCTGAGGCCAAATCAGCCTTCGGCAACGGTACAGTTTTCGTTGAACGCTTTTTGGACAAGCCCAAGCATATTGAAGTGCAATTGCTCGGCGACAACCACGGGAATGTTGTTCATTTGTACGAGCGAGACTGCAGCGTTCAAAGACGGCACCAAAAGGTCGTTGAGCTAGCTCCCGCCAAAGATCTTCCGTCCGAGGTGCGGGACGCCATTCTCAACGATGCGGTCAAACTGGCTCAATCCGTCAACTATCGCAACGCAGGCACTGCAGAGTTCTTGGTAGATCAGCAAAACAGATATTACTTCATCGAGATCAATCCCAGAATCCAAGTCGAACACACCATCACCGAAGAGATCACGGGCATTGATATCGTCGCCGCTCAGATCCAAATCGCTGCTGGTGCCTCTCTCGAGCAGTTGGGCTTGACACAAGACCGTATCTCAACGCGCGGGTTCGCCATTCAGTGCCGTATCACCACGGAAGATCCTTCCCATGGATTCTCTCCAGATACTGGCAAAATCGAGGTCTATCGATCGGCAGGAGGCAACGGCGTTCGTCTCGACGGTGGTAATGGATTTGCTGGTGCTATCATCACTCCTCACTACGATTCCATGTTGGTCAAATGCACTTGCCACGGTTCCACCTACGAGATTGTTCGCCGAAAAATGCTACGAGCACTGGTTGAGTTCCGTATCCGTGGGGTGAAGACCAACATCCCCTTCTTGGCCTCCCTTTTGACTCACCCAACCTTCGTCGAAGGCACGTGCTGGACCACCTTCATTGACGACACTCCAGAGCTGTTCAAACTGATTGGCAGCCAGAATCGGGCTCAGAAGCTCCTGCAGTATCTCGGTGATCTTGCGGTCAATGGAAGCAGCATCAAAGGTCAGATTGGAGAGTCGAAATTCAAGGGCGACATCATTATGCCCACTTTACTTGACGAGCATGGCAATGAGATCAACGTGGAAGAGCCGTGCACGAAAGGCTGGAAGTCCATCATCGACAAAGAAGGGCCTGCCGCATTCGCCAAGGCAGTTCGAGCGAACAAGGGATGTCTTCTGATGGACACTACCTGGCGTGACGCCCACCAGTCTCTGTTGGCCACCCGAGTTCGCACCGTTGACCTGTGCAACATCGCCAAACATACCAGCTATGCTCTCAACAACGCCTGGGCGTTGGAGTGCTGGGGTGGAGCCACATTTGATGTTGCCATGCGATTCTTGTATGAGGACCCATGGGATCGACTCCGCAAAATGAGAAAACTGGTTCCCAACATCCCCTTCCAGATGTTGCTCCGTGGAGCCAACGGTGTTGCTTACAAGTCACTCCCGGACAACGCCATTTATCATTTCTGCAAGCAGGCCAAGAAGAACGGCATGGATATCTTCAGAGTATTTGATGCCCTTAACGACATTGACCAACTGGAGGTGGGCATGAGGGCTGTTCAGGAAGCTGGCGGTGTTGTGGAAGCCGCGATCTGCTACTCAGGTGACAGTACGAGTCTTCAGTCTTCCCCATTGCGATTTGATACTAATCCGCTTGATAGTGCTCAACCCCAAGAAAAAATATAATCTTCAATATTACATGGACTTGGTGGAGAAGATTGTCAAGATTGGAACCCATATTCTCGGAATCAAAGACATGGCTGGTGTTCTGAAGCCCAAGGCTGCTCGTCTTCTTGTGGGTACGATTCGCAAGAAGTACCCTGACCTTCCGATCCACGTCCACACCCATGATTCGGCCGGCACTGGGGTTGCAACGTACGTTGCTTGCGCAGAAGCTGGCGCTGACGGCGTCGATACGGCATCAGATTCAATGTCAGGTATGACGTCTCAACCCAGCGTTGGAGCGCTTCTTGCGTCTCTTGAGGGCACAGACTACGACCCGGGTCTAAATGGCCACAACGTGCGAGCACTGGACCAATATTGGTCGCAGCTCCGATTGCTCTACTCACCTTTCGAAGCTGGCTTGACTGGGCCCGACCCCGAAGTGTATGAACATGAGATACCCGGAGGACAACTGACGAACCTGATTTTCCAAGCCTCCCAGCTCGGCCTGGGCGCACAATGGCTGGAGACGAAGAAGGCTTATGAGCAGGCGAATGACCTCCTCGGAGACATTGTCAAAGTTACTCCCACCTCCAAGGTGGTGGGTGACCTGGCGCAATTCATGGTGTCCAACAAGCTGGACTATGAGGGCGTCAAAGCCAAAGCCAAGGAGTTGGATTTCCCGGAATCTGTGTTGGAGTTCTTCGAGGGATTCATGGGTCAGCCATACGGCGGGTTTCCCGAACCACTGCGAAGCGACGTACTCCGTGGCCGACGAAAGATGGATAAGAGACCGGGTCTGTACCTTGACCCCATCGATTTTGCCAAGGTCAGGAAGGAACTCAAGGAGAGATTCAACACGACCGCCGAAACCGATATCGCAAGTTATGTGATGTACCCCAAGGTGTTTGAGGACTATCGTAAATTTGTGGACAAATATGGCGACTTGTCCGTGCTCCCGACGAAATACTTCCTGAACAAGCCAGAGATTGGCGAAGAGTTCCACGTGGAGCTTGAAAAGGGCAAGGTTCTGATCATGAAGTTGCTGGCTGTGGGACCATTGTCGGAAGCTACAGGTCAACGTGAAGTGTTCTACGAGGTCAATGGAGAAGTTCGGCAAGTGACTATCGACGACAACAAGGCTGCGGTGGAGAACACGAGCCGACCTAAGGCGGATCCGGGCGACAGCAGTCAAGTGGGCGCTCCCATGGCCGGTGTGGTAGTGGAGGTTCGAGCCAAAGAAGGACACGAGATCAAGAAGGGCGACCCGATCGCGGTGCTGAGCGCCATGAAGATGGAAATGGTCATCAGCGCTCCACATTCTGGCAAGGTTGGGGAAATCCTGGTCAAGGAAGGGGACTCTGTTGCTGGATCCGATTTGATTTGCAAGATTGCAAAGGCGTGAAAGGATTGCGGACAGGGAGCTAAATTGCACAGACTGTTTGACAATGGGGAGGTGACTGCCAACGTGGGCTTGGGAAGTCAGTATTGGGACGGCATGGGAGGAGGGAGGGCCAGACTGGACGGTATCCCTCGTTATCGCTAAGGCAAGGCTGAAATGGACCCTATTGTTGTTTCCTAGTTGCCTATGAAATCACATGAGGTATACAAGGTGCTGATGGCCCGAGGAGCGAGTGTCTCTCTCTCCCTCACTGTCTCTCACACACATGAAGGGTTGGGAGGCATGTGAAGATGCCTGCACCACCAACCAGATGCGTTCCGCTGTCTCCGTCTCGGCTGCCATCCATGCATAGTGGTGGTTGATCCCTTTCTCTTGAGTCTTTGTAGCTTCGTCCCCATAGGTTTGTACCATGACCTCAAGCGGCACCACGGGCCTCACTAGGCTCCCGGGTCAACACGGCTGCTGACCATGTCCCTGTCGAATCCACTCGTCTGCATCATTGACGCGGGGTAGAGCCCACCATCAAGGGCCCGGATTCCAATTCCATTGCTTCAATTGGGAGACATCGTTCTGCAAGTAAAGGGCTCGTTGTCTTCTTAGTGGCTCTTTGGGTAAGAAGCCATGCTAGAGCTGTCACTTTCTGTGAGTGTCCAGCACCAGGATGGCTGCTCTGGCTTTCGGGCTGGGACTCGAGTCGGCCTGATATCCCTCCTTCTATTTACCCTCTTAGGAGCTCCTGTCCGTCTCTCTGTCGACGCCAAAGCCGGGAACGTGGCACGCGAGTTGCGCCAGGGTCGCCCATTCGTCTCTTCTGCCCTCCCATCCATGTGCTCAGGATGGTTCGGTCGGCCGAGAGAGGGCTTCTGCTATTGGACTCCCTCTCGTAGACGAGGGGTAAAGATGAATCAGATGTCAAGATCACGCAGAGCTCTGGACCAGCAGTTTGTACATAAACGGTCCTCCACACCCCTCCTCCGTCGCCCTGTTGGCAACAATCTCAGTTTGCAATTTCTCTGCCAAAGCCGCCAGGTCAAAGATTCCTCCCAAGTCTCGACCATCCTCACGTCTCGATAAGGCACCCGCAATCCACAAGAGCGTTTGGGCCCACCAAAGCGACCCCGTCTGCATATCTAGCGAGCTAGGTACATACGACAGCTGAACAGAGCATAGTTTCCGCTTTTTGGAGCTCACATCTCATTGATCCATCCTCACGCGGCGGTCATCTACGTCACCATATCGACGCGGCGATCGATCTGCGCTCACCCCCTTGGGAGGCCATCCGTTTGTGCAGCGAACATTGGATATAAGTACCAAGTACCTGGATCTCTTGCCTCAACACTGTCTTCAAGTCCTCGAGTGAACCTGTTCTATACCATCTGCCGCATCTCCTCAACTCCACTTCGAAGCATTCCTGTACAGGGTACTTTTACATCGGGACCCACTTTCAGCCTTTGAACCAGCGATCGACACAACTGGGGAAACATGTTCTTCAAGCAATACAACTACAAGCCGCGCAGCAACAGCCAGTCCTCTCAGGGCTCGGCCTCTGGCAGCCCGCCCAAGGAGGAGGCCAAGGCGAACATGGACGCCACGAGCACCGCAGCCAGCGCTGCAGCCGCAGGGCGAAGACGGGTGAGTTGCCATTGCCATTGCCATTGCCTCAATCAACACACACCCTTCTTTCCTCCCTATGAGGACCTTTCCCGTCGACATGCCATGATATTCTATTGTCCCTGAAAGATCTGTCCGTCCTTTAAGTTTGACTGAATATTTCACTGACAACTGTCGTCCTCCTTTTGCGGTCCAACAGTCCTCCGGGTCGGACAAGTTTGCCGGCCTCACGGGCCAGAAGCGCAACAGCCAGGACGACCGCAAGGCCAACTGGAGCGACCAGAAGCCCGGCCAGCCGGGCATTCTGGGCGGCATGTGGCAGAACTTCACCAAGGGGTCTTAAAAGAGAAACCCACCCTAGGAGCTGTTTGGGGAGATAGATGTGTCGATGGGTTGGCGAGAGAGAGGACCCTGAGATTGAGAGTTGCACGCATATGTGTGTGTGTGTGTGTGTGTGTGTGTGTGTGTGTGGCGCGTGTGTCAGGTATGGCGCAGAACGCTTGACGAACCTCGAAGCGAGCATACACCACCTACCGAATTGAATCGAATTGAATTGAATTGATGGGGATTGTGTCTTGGTGGCCTTTCTGGGTGCAGGAAGCATAGGCTCATGTTTAAAAAGAGAAGAAAAAAACGAACAAAAAACACCAAACAAACAAATACTGGGATCTCGAGCACGAAGCAATTTCTATATGCGCCCCCCTTTTCAGTATATGTAACTACCTAGCTAACCGTTGCCAATCCAATCCATGTTCACACACAGAGACGCTTAATTCAGTCCGGGGGGAAGGGGCTATACGTGCCATGCAATGCCTACATCAGACGAAAAAGGAACTTCCCTGGTGCCTCAAAACGGAGCGAAACGATTGACAAGGGAAAAACGAGACTAATTCTTTTGTACGTGTCCCATCCTGATCGAATCGAAGCCAAGCCAGGGCTGCCATATCTTTACGAAAAGACAGCTCCGGGCTTTGTTCCTATGTATCTGTACCAAACTTCCCAAGACAACCACTGGAGGGAGCAAAAGTCCCTTATAGGTAGGTGGTCGTTCCTGTTGTCCCAAATACACGGACCTCAGGCCTTGCGTACCAACCGGCAACCGAGCATTTAGTAGGTAGGCAAGATCCTCTTCTTCCCACTCCAACTCCCACTCCCCGTTCAGACTGCTCTACTCTCGAGGTCCGCATCCATTTTCTGCAGGTACTCAAAATCACGAGACCGTCTTCTTCACCTCCTCCACAGCGCCCTGAACCTTGTCCTTTGTCTGGCTGGCGATCGAGTCGACCGTGCCCTCGAGTTCCGCCTTGGCCTTTTCGGCGCGGATCTTTTCCCAGCGTTCTTTGCCGGAGCCACTAACACGTGTGGGTCAGTTTATAGGGATCAACAAACTTTTTGCGGGACTGGATATCTCAGGCACGGTGTGCTGAGGAGAACAGACACCCCGTCGCGTATATATTCGTGACTAGATAGATATATGGGAGAGGGGGGGGATGCAACTTACTACCAGTAATCATACCACCGGTACCCCTGCGTGAGCTGTGCGTTGAAGTTGACAAAGTGGCACGCGAACAGCAAGTAGTTCTTGGGCGTCACGGCGAGGGCATATCGCATGAACGTCCCCGAGTATACCGTGAGCGCGGCTGTGAATTGTCCCGAGATGCTGGTGGTCAAAGGACAAGCATTAGTTTTTCTTCTCCTCACTGATCTCTGGTGGTTCCTGGACGGGGGCCAAAGTGGTGAGGGTAGTCATGACACAACGGAAAGGGGGTAGACAAGAACAGTATCTCCCAAGTCCAATGTACATGCAGATGCCAAGGGAAGATGTAGATGGAAGGAACAGGTGTAAGAACGTACATCTCAGGGTCCTTCTGTGTATCCAACACGGCGGCGATGGGGATACCGAAATTCGAAGCTGGGCCCCAGAAATCTGTCGGCAAACCTCAGTCAGTACCGTGTAAGCTAGACTTCATATGATTGTGTGGTGCGACAGCTTCCTCTTGCATCCCTCTTTCTTTTTGCGTGTCTCAACACACTCGTTTCCCCTCCCCAACGCCAGGCCAGCATTGTCACGCCGGTAGCGCGAACAGCATAGTCCTCGCAGAGAACGGGGTGTGTGCTTTCAAAAGGGCCATGCCGGGACGAAACGTACGTGTGGAGCAGAAATAATCGAGGACCTTGTTGGAGCGAATCCGCGCATTGATGGCTTTAATTGTCGCGGCCATGGCTGCGGCACTCTTCTCTCTCTCTTTTACTTTTCCCCTGTTCTATCGCTTCCTCTTCGAATCCAGCAACGAAACACAAACACACAACACACCGCAAGAGAACGACTGGCGCAAGGACAAAGGAGGCGGCCGACGAGGTTCGGGGCGGATATGGGGATGGGAGAGGAGGAAGAGGTTGAGTCAGAGGTGCTGCGATGAGCTGCGATCTCGGGCTTCGGGGTAGTTTTGGGATGAACAGGGAGTTTCGCTGCATAATAATCAATGGGGGATGGACAAGGAGCCCGGCCTTTAGCAGAATCTCCGCAATTATGTCACGTGCACGGCCTCACGAGGAAAAACGTTCAGCCGCCGAGGCCTCATCCAAGATCCAAAGGGGAACCAGCAACTGTAGTTAAATGTACAGAGAGCACAGGATAAGCCATTTTGCATTGCATACGAGAGCTCGTCATCATGTCCAACCCAATATCAATACTCCGTTCCTTACCCCTCCATACAATATCACTATCTTGTATCCTGATCATAGGTACCTCTCCACGATGTCGATATGGCATCTTTTATTTTGCGAACCTTCTCCTTCCTCACTGCTGAGCACCTTGTCCTTGAGCAATCACTTGAGCCTGGAAACGAATTTGAAAGCAGAGATCATCCAAAGCCCGTAAGTCTACGTCTCCAGGCGCAGTTGACTTCAGCCGATCCAGGACACCTTGTAACATAGCACTGATGCTGGGGCGACCACCTCCTTCAGCGCTCTCATGAGAGTCTGCCAACACCCCAGTTGACACTGCTCCCTCATCAGCACCTGAATTCAGCTGGTGATCCTCTGCTGCAGCATCTCCATCAATGCTCAATGCTGTTTCCAATCCCACACTTTCTCGTGCGGCCCCTTCCCTTGAGCGCAAAGGTCCAGGCACGATAACCTCGATCGTGTCATTATGATCAATTGGCGAGTGTGCAGCTGGACTAGCATTGTCTTGCCTCCGCCGTTGTCGGCCCCTCCGACGCTTTGGGGCACTCGTTGTCTCAATGCCCGCTGCTTGGGTCGGATGTGCCAGTTCCTCTGCTGCAATCGCTTGAACGGCCCTCGAGGGAGCAATCTCGATACAGTCCTGTATTTCTGCCGTCGTGTTATCCAAGAAGCTGTTCATTGCGATCGATTGAGAGGACGTCTGTGAAGTAGATTGCGACTTTCTTCGCTTGGTCGAGGTGAACCTCAGGCTGTTAGACTTGCGCTTGCGGCCTCGTCGTGCCTGAGGTTTTGGTTGGTTGTTGTGTCCTTCCTCCTCAAAAGATATGCCACTGGTTTTCACTGGCGTTGGCAACGCCTCATCCTCGACTACCTGGCTGAGATGTTGGTCAAGATCGTGGGATAATTGGGAGGCGCTCAGCATGTCGATCTCGTCGCTGTCACTTCTAGGTGTTGCCATCGGGCTTGAGCCTGCACCGTCATCCTCTGCACATGCGGTCTCTGCCGGCGCTTTTGCGGTTGAAGAATGAAGCCTCATCGCGTCGTCAGCGCTTTGATCTTGCATGTGGACATCCCTCTCTGTATTCATGGGCTTCTGTTTAACCACCGGCGAAACGTGTCCCGTTGCAACCTCTGCTGGTGGAAGGTCACTCGCCTTGACCGCAATCTGCTGATACGCGGCCTGCGGCGGCGCAATGGCAAGGTCAATCCTAACCTGTCCGTCCTCGGCAATTGGTTGTGGTGGAGAAGAGGTAACTTCCCCTCTATCGCGATTACCTGGAATTGACGGGGGTGACGAAGGTACATCGATATCCGCTATTTGATGTGCAACGTGTCGTGCTCGAGGAGTTGGAGATGCTGGTATTTCAAGTTCTTGTTGATCATGACCTGTCGGCAAAGTAGGTGTTGAGGGTTGTTGTGGTAAAGCAGCCGCCTTACGCGCAATCCCACAGCTACTCACACTGGGGGCTCTGCTATGTGGCCTTGGACTAGATCGAAGATCAGGAAACACAACGGCAGGTTCGGAACGTTGTCTATCCCGAACTTCTACTTGATGTGCTGTCAGGCACTGCGAGTCCGAATCACGTTCACATGCTGGCGACGAACCAATCGGCACAAATTGAACCTGAGAATCGTCATGTCGAGCCCTGGGTCGTAAACTTCGTTTTTCGGGACTCGAGAAAACTGGGTCAGGTCGTCTGGCTGCACCAGCGTTGTAGTACTGACTCCCTAGTTCTGGAGAAAGCCCAGCACCACGTACGTCCTTGGCGGGACTTGATGATGGACGGTTGGAGATGGGAGTGGTTGCTTCCTCGGCTGCAGAGGGCCGTGTTGCTTCGTGTGAGATCAATTGTCCAGGCGGCATGAGATCACATGGGATATGGACGTCGATTCCGGCATTCCGCAACTTAAGCAAGGCTTCAGAGAGACGAGGGCCCATAGTGACTGAATGTAGATGGCCAAACCGCATGTTCCACATTGTGACAGCCTCGTCCCGCACAGAAAGCTGGGAACTTTCGAATAGAGCAGCAAAAACGTCATCAAAATCCTCAATGGTCCCGAAGGGATATCTGGAAATGATGTGCAGAGAGGACACGATGATTTTCGAATAGCATCCGTCTGGAGAAGTCTCATTCTCGGCCTTCTGGTGCTGCAGCAAGACGGAAAGAGTCGGCAGAAGCAGTCTCGTCAGGCAGACGACGTATTCTCGAGGGATGCCCTCGAGACTTCCCTCCAGCTGCCTGATCTCCAACATTATCGACCACATGTTACCGGCGGATTGTTCTGGCCTGAAACATCGAAGGAGTCGGGCGTTCAGGAAACCGAGAAGTTCCTGGCATTGAGAAGACAATGACCGTGTTTCGCTTTTCGGCTCCTCAGGTGGCGCACAAGGGCGGCAATCCTCTTCATTCTTCAATTCTAGCATGACTGAGTCCAATGTATCAAAAATGACAAGTATTGTCTTGATGTCGCAGTTGGTCTCAAGTCCAATTTTGATCAAATCGTTCCCGAGTTCAGTGACGGCAGCAAGCGTCAAGTGTCGCACTTGGGCGATGCTGAGTCCAAGTATATCATCTGCTTGAACAGCACTCGCGAGTTCTGAACAATCTTTGAAAAGGAAAAGGGATCCTAAGTAGTTGGCCACGTTGGTCATGGCATCGACTGTTTCAGGGGAAGGTTTGATTTCTTTGCTGCTGGCCTCTCGCAAGGCTTTGAGAAAGTGTGACCAGGCAACGGCAATGAATGCTCTGTCAGATTGACCCGAAGCGCCCCAGGAGCTGTATCGCATCAATACTTGAAACATGTCAAGAATCGCTTTGGACTTTGCCCGAATCCACTTGCAGTCAATCGTGGGAAGTTCCTCTGGCTCGACTCGTGTATTCTCAAGAGCTCGTTTCTCGTTCCAGACTTTCGTGCTCTTTTTAGAGTTCCAGAACAGTGCCGTGAAAATGCGGCTTGCAATGTCGGCATTCGCACTGCTTTTCTCAAAGAATGAGCTCTTCATAACCTTAACAATATATTCGTTCCAGACTCTGGTGTATTGTTTGTGTGTAGCTGCTGGTCTGAAGGCATAATAGAGTAAGGTGCAATAACTGGAAACAGCGGTTGGACGGGTGCCTTTGCTTGTCTGTTCGATAGACTGACGTTCCATTTGGGCGGTGAGGGGCTTTGCAAGTAATGCCATCAAAGTGTCGGATGTTTGATGAGGTTGGATGATGTGAATGAAACGATCCCAGGCCATGTAGGCTTGTTGTTTGATGGCAGAGTCACTGCAGTTGAAGCATGTCTGGATCACTTTCAACCAATCCATAAACTGTGGCCACTTGTCAAAACGGGGCCAAGGGCCGTTGGGGTCTCGGTCCTCAACACCATTGCTGAGCATGAGTATGATGGTCCATATCTGTGGAACTTGAATTCCTTCTTCTTTGACTGTGATCATCTTTTCAAGCCTGCGACACATGGCGGAGCTAAACGTCTTACCCGGCGTGAGCTCTTCGCCGAGGACAGTCTTGAGAGTGGCTGAAATGGAAGAAGATGAGGAAAATATCGAGCACGCTTTGAGCCCTGTGGCGATCGCCTTTGTCCTGACGTCTTTCAGTGAATTGGTCATGCCTGTCAACAGCTCCTCAACCCATAGGTTGGCCCTGGCTTTCATCGTAGGCCTTGCTTGGTCGAGGAGCTTCTGGTAGACCAATAGCCTCTCCGAAACCACGCCATTCCCTTTTACGTGCTCGGTTAGAGCCTTCAGCGCCTCAAGCAGTCGTGTGACCCGGTTGTTGTTGACGAGAACTGGACGGAAATTTTGGGTTGCCAAAAGGTGAAGATAGTGAATGATTACACCTTTGGGCGCTGCGTGTTCGGAGATGACCTGGATGGACCGATCGAGGACGAAAATACGATACTCGTCCGTCAACAAAGAGGAGTAGTCGCGATTCCATACAAAAATGACAAGCACTTTCAAGGCTTGAGTCACCAGATTCGTATCAGCAATGGGTGGCTCGTCGGGATTGGGTTGTTTTTGCAGGTCGCGTTTGATGTATCTCATAATGATGGTTAACTTGGCCTTCAGCACATCCTCCTCGGGTATGTCATCATATTCCCGGATGACTGAAGAAAGTGTCTGATATGCATCGACAGAGACCGATCTGTCGTCACGGGACAGTTGTTGCACTATGCTCTCCATCAATTCCCCCATTGTGCGTTTCGCATCTTGTGCTCCATCCACAGCTTGGGCAGTGTGCTCGTCGACGAGACAGGGTTTGAGGATGGACTTCAGAGCTGACTGAGAGCCTGAAGAAGAGGGTAATGGTCTTGTAGTACTGGAAGACGGTTGACTTGCGGAGGAAGGCTGTCGAGAGTGTGTACCAACAGAAAACCCCACGCGTTTTCGAGTTGCAGTGTTCGATGAACCTGGGAACGACGAAGGCAAATCTGGGGTTCTTGTAGGATTGGCTGATGCGTTTGGGAAAAACACTTTGCGGCGTGAAGATGTGGAGGGTGGACTCAAGGGAAGAACATCAGGAATGGACATGATGGCTACGAGCCAACATCAGACTGCACAGACAAGCGAGGTTACTGGTGTTGACAAAACAAAGAACGTGAAGGTACTAAAGACCGCCCGCAGTCGTCCATGACTCAAAGATTCGCAGTTAGTCCTAGCAGAGGTGTAAAGAAGCATTCAAAGCAAGGAAACGATAATGAGCAAGGCGCCGTGGACACGCCCAGCCTCGCCGCATTGAACGGGACGCGTCGAGACGCGGATCTCGTGTTTTAATGGAGGCTGGGGGTCTCTTGATTGGTGAGCCTGGTTCAGCCTCGCCAGCACAAGCTTACTCAAGCGGGCTAGCTTCTCTGACGCCACTTCAAGAACCAGCCTGAAGATGGAAGATGGTCGACGCTTCCACGGTCTTGTCCTATCATCCGTCACCTCCAAGGTGCATTGCAGCATCCTCCTGCTTGATTCTTCGGGATCACCATCGATGGACTAACGCGGCAGTTTTCTTCTGGTTTGCGCTGGAGATTCAGTCTTCCATATAGCCTATGCCCCCCAATCATGGCGAACCAGGCCCAACAGCATGAGGCAAGAGCCTTACTTGCTCTACTGGTAAAGGACCTAGAAGTCAGAGACCTCGAACAGAAGCGACTCGAAGAGACGTTGGTCAACCTGAAAGTCTTGGGGCGCAATGTCAACAATGTCTCCAGCATCTACAACGATGAGGGTATCAAGACACTGGGGAGCTATGCCTTTGGCGATTTCCCTCATTCAGTTCGCCAGGAAGCCCTGAGATGCATCGCAAATGCTCTCCTCTTGATCCCAGCAACTCGCAAGTCTTCGCTCAAAGTCGAGCTCGACCAGAAAGCAACCGATGCACTACATGATGCAAACGACGATGACGAATTTCTTCTATCGCGGATACTGTTCCTGTTGACTTACGACCCTGGCATTGACATGAAGACCTTAATAGCAGATCACGATCTGGCAAAAGCCATCGTGAAGCAGCTTTCGCGTCATGCAGATGAGGCGAAGAAGTCTTCACCTAAGAGCCCGGCTGGCCAGGGCAATATGGCACTGATGGAAACCCTGAAGCTTCTTTTCAACGCCACGAGTATCAAGACCGATCAAGATGCAAAATTTCAACCTGCTGTCGTTGAGCTCTTCCGCCTCCTCCTTCGCCTAGACGTTCCGTCCCCAGCGCTTCAGCCGCCGATGAGCCTGCTCGTGAACGCTTTGGCCAACCTGGATATGGGCCCTGAGATGGTGAAGGCTAGCGAGGTAGAACCTGCAGTGGACAAATTGATGACGATCCTAGAACAGGCCATCCAAGAGCACTCGTCGACAGAATTGGACACGGTTGCGATTCCACTCTTGACTGTCCTGAGGAGAATCAACGAGGTTGCAAGTCCCGACCTCCGCAGAAGGATGAAGGCACGGCTCTTGCCCAACGATGAGGAAAGAGATCAACCCTTAGGGAAATCATCTTCATTTGCGTCCCGGCTTCTGCGGCTAACTACGTCTTCGGGGATGTTGAACTTGTCTGAAGCCATCTCTGGGCTTATGTTTGAGCTTTCCGACAAAGACGCTAACGAATACGTCAAGAATGTGGGATACGGCTATGCTGCAGGTTATTTGATGACCCATAAGATCCCTGTCCCTGAAAGTGCAAAGAAGTCGCATATTCCGGGCGAATCCTCTAACGAGGTGCCCATCAACCCCATCACTGGACAGAGGCTTGACAAGGAGCAACCGATCGAACTGCCAGAAATGACACGAGAAGAAAAAGAACGAGAAGCCGAGAGAATGTTTGTGTTGTTCGAGAGACTCAAACGGACCGGGGTGGTAAACGTCAAGAACCCAGTGGAAGTAGCCAACGATGAAGGCAGGTTTGAGGAGCTCAGTGATTCTGAGCCAGAGTGATTCGAGACGGTTGGATCAATTGCTCCAGAACTCGCGGGGAGTCTTCCATGTTCTTTGCGCTTTGATATTGCTGTATACCAACGACGTTCTTGGAGGAGAACACTGCAGAAGAGTAGACCAAGCCAACCTGTTCCAGCCAAGTGCAATATACTCTGTACCAAGTATTTGTAATTTCCATCACGGCACTGGCCTGTTGTCGCTGGCGCCACTCGGATCAGGAAGTTAGCGGGTGCTGCCCACCCGGCAAGCGGGACTCCCCCGGCTAAAGAGGCTAAAGAGGCGAAAGAAGGGCCTGTCACAGGCTGTCAGAGCCTGTTCCTGCATAAACTCGAGGGTTAGTGGCCCCTTGGTGCCCTTAAACGATAAGCTTAACTGGCTGGATCCTCTGCTGCCGTGCTGGTCGCGACAATTACCTGATGCTGGCTGCGCTGGCAAAAATTATCCTCCTGTCGACCCCGTCTTCCCCATCACCTCACCTTCCCACCACCATCAACCACCACTACACCGTTCTTTCAGGAGGGTTTGCGCCCTTGAGCGCCATCAGTTCCCTTTCGCATCGCAGGAAATGGTCCATCGTGTCGAATTAGCAATGAATGGCACTCCCAAAGTCAACGGGGTCAACGGGGTCAACGGGGTCAACGGGGTCAATGGCCACTCAAAAGATGGCTTGCCGCAACGGTCCCTCTCATCCCGCAAATCGTCGTCCCCAATGGCTCCCGCTTTCATGACTTCTGCGCCGGGGAAAGTCATTGTCTTTGGAGAACACGCCGTTGTCCACGGCAAAGCGGCAATGGCTGCAGCCGTCTCCCTTCGATCCTACCTCCTCGTCACGGCGCTCTCGAAATCGCATCGGACAATTCAACTCGTATTCCCAGATATCGGACTCGATCACACCTGGAATATCGACGATTTGCCTTGGCATGTCTTCACAAAGACGACGCGGAAACCTCGATACTATGACATGGTGACTTCGCTAGACCCCGAGCTCGTCGCTGCCATGAAACCGCATATCGAAACAGTGTCTACCCATTTGAGCGCAGACAAGAGAAGGATACATCAAAATGCTGCTTCTGCTTTCTTGTACCTGTTTTTGTGTCTTCAGACGCCTGCTGCGCAGGCTTGTATTTATACCCTACGGTCCACACTACCGGTTAGCGCAGGACTGGGGTCGAGCGCAAGCATTTGCGTCTGCATCAGCGCTGCCCTTCTCAAACAGATCCATGTCTTGTCCGGACCACATCACGATCAACCGGAGGAAGAAATCCAGACACAACTTGAGAGGATAAACAAGTGGGCTTTTGTTGGAGAATTATGTATCCATGGCAATCCCAGCGGGGTGGATAACACGGTGGCAACGCATGGAAGGGCTGTTTTGTTCAAGAGACTGGACTATTCGAAGCCCCCGAGTGCCACGCCCCTAAAAGATTTTCCCGAACTTCCCTTGATGTTGGTCAATACCAAACAGCCCCGCACGACCGCGGCAGAGGTCGCCAAAGTCGCCACGCTGAAGAAGAAATACCCAGCCGTCACTGAGGCGACTTTGGACAGCATTGATGAAGTCACCATGTCAGCACACGCCCTCATCACCTCGGAAGAATTCGACCCTGCGTCTGAGCAGAATATCGAGCATCTAGGTGATTTGTTCCGCATCAACCACGGGCTGCTGGTGTCGCTTGGGGTGTCCCATCCCAAGCTGGAACACATTCGCGAGTTGGTGGATTACGCCGACATTGGCTGGACCAAACTCACGGGTGCTGGAGGTGGTGGATGTGCCATCACGTTACTCAAGCGAGGTGTTGACCCATCTGCGATTGTCGACCTGAAGCAAAAGTTTGAGGCTGCAGGGTTTGAGGAGTACACGACTACGCTAGGGGGCAACGGCGTTGGCATGCTCTACCCGGCGGTCTTGCACAACGGCACCGAGGAAGAAGGAGGCGAAGAAATTGACCAACAGAAGTTCCTCAATGCCAAAGGTGAGGAGGGAATTGAGGCATTGGTGGGTGTCGGCCTTGACGAAAGGCGGCCCGAATGGAAGTTCTGGAGATAGTCCAGCTGCGGACCTGTTCCTTGATGTTTTATTAGCGAAGGCGCAATGCATCAAAGATCAAGTGGAAGGGCTACTTAATTTAATGACGGAGCAAAAGTGCCAGCACTTTATGTATTATACTGTGTCAACGAGCAAGTTTCAACATGCAACGAGACGACGTTTTGTTCTGCATATCACGTGAAGCAGTCGGAACAAATCCTAGTATTTTCTCCGAAGCGGATTTCCTCTTCGTATTGTTCTCTTCATTCCAGCCAATTTCAGTTCAAATGGAGTGAATGCCCTGATGTGAATTTGCTGATCCCTTTGGTGCTGGCTATAAGACCGTCCGGTGACCCCGCATGACATGATCGCGAGGTTATCACTCCTTTGACTGGGCGAGCTGATTTGAATCAGGCTAGATACCTACACAGGGCCCCGTCCGGGGTTATGAGGGTTGCTCGCCACTTGTACATGCTTCTTCACTGAAGCCCTCACTTTTTTTCTGTTAGAAGCGATCACGAAACCATGGCTGAGACTGCTTCGACCGCGCTACCAAGAAGACCGAAGGCCAAGTCCAAGGAGCCGTTCTACGCCGTGTCGGCCTTGTGGAAAGATGTCGTCCCCATTCCGCTCATCGACGGCCCACCAGGTGCGAAAGATCCTGGCCCGGCGCTCGCCACCATCGCCTACTCGGTGCGGTATAGCGAAGCCATGTCTTATTTGAGAGCCGTCATGGCCACCAACGAGTTCAGTCGGCGGGCCCTGGACTTGACCGAGGACATCATCAGGATGAACCCGGCGCACTACACCGTGTGGCTGTACCGTGCCAGGATTCTCAAGGCGCTGTGGGAGGCAGAGGGAGTGAGTGTGGAGGACGGTGTCAAGGAGGAGTTGGAGTGGTTGGAGGGTGTCAGTGAGCGGAACTTGAAGAATTATCAGATCTGGTGAGTTTGTATATCATCCATCCCACAAGAATGACTTCTTCAGTGGTCGAACCAACCACAACTGCTATAAGACATGCCACATTTAATTTTTCGTCCCCCGACTTATGCCCTTCTCTCTCTCTGTGTGTGCAGGCACCACCGCCAACTCCTGGTCTCCCTCCTACCGACCTTCCCACCCAACGAACCCGAGTTCATCACGCACATGCTCTCCTTCGACGCCAAGAACTACCACGTGTGGACGTACCGACAATGGCTGTGCCGGCGGTTCCCGGACCCGCTACTCACGACAGACATGGAGCTTGCGGCTATGGACGCGCTGATCAACGAGGACGTGCGCAACAACTCGGCCTGGAACCACCGGTACTTTGTGTGCTTCGGGGCCGAGGAGCTGGCGGCCATCGAGAAGGAAGGCAATGGCAATGGGAATGGGATCCGGAAAGACGTGCTTGCGAGCGGCAAATTGGTCGTCGACGACGAGGTGGTCGAGCGCGAGATCAACTACGCCAAAGACCACATCGCCTGGGCGCCCCAGAACCCTTCGCCCTGGAACTACTTGAGGGGCGTGCTCAAGAGGGCCGGCATTCCCGTCACCGATCTCCAGGTCTTTTGTGAGGGCTTCGTCGGCGGCAAGGATGCGGATCTCATGAGTGACACGGGAAGCGTGAGGAGTAGTCATGCAATCGATTGGTTGGCCGATATCTATCGTCTGGACGGCAAGCTCGAGAAAAGCAGGGCCTGTCTGGAGGCCCTGGGCAACAAGTGGGATCCCATCCGGAAAAAGTACTGGGATTGGAGGGCGAAACAGCTGGCTAGTGACTGATTAGACGGTGCGAAGATGGCTGAAGAAAGGCTCGCCCTCGCCGGTGGAGGAGGCAGAATTGGATTGGATACGAGCAAAGGGTTTTGAAAGCGCCGTCCAGGAGTCTTCTACCATCACCTACAGTATGTCTAGGCGATTTCTACATTAAATCATTTCAATAGGCATAGGCTAGGGTGTTTGAAGGACCAACACATTCAAATGCCCGATACATGAAGCCCCCAAAAACTCCGGAAGAGGGTCTATATTTCTTTTCTCTCTCTGGTATCTAAATCTTCTCATCCTTGTCGTGCACAATAACCCTGATCCCCTGACTATCCAGTTTCACCCCGGCCGTGAACAGATCCCTCGTGGGCGTGGCGTCGGTGTCGTCCGTCTGGTACATTTCCAGATTATACCGCATGACCACGGCGGCGACGGACATGTACAGCTGCGCGTACGCCAAGTGCATGCCGATGCAGTTCCGGGAACCCTTGCCGAAGGCCACGATGTACTTGTCCAGACGGCTCGTGGTTTTGCCCTCGGCCAGGGAGGTCTCGTCGTCGAGCCACCGCTCCGGGTCGAATTTGCGGGGTTGAGGGAAGATGGTCTCGTCGATGAGGACCAGGTGTGGTGTCATGGCCACGGGCGTGCCGGCTGGGATGGTCCATTCTTTGTACTGGATCGGCCTGTCGTAGATCCGCGGCAGGCGAGACAGCATCCCACCGGCCATGCGGACGCCTTCTTTGATGACCGCGGTCAAGTACGGCATCTTCTCCAGCGATGTCCAGGGCGCCACGGGGTCGCCCGGCGGGATTTCGACCTTGGACAGCTCCGCGCGCATCTTTGCCAACACGTCCGGGTTCTTCATGATATGGTACGTGGTGATGGTGATGGCCCAGGCGGTCGTCTCGGAGCCCGCAGTGGCAATCAATACGCCTTCGTCGATCAGTCGTTCATCGCTCAATTCCTCCTCGGGGAGATCGCTCGACAGGATCTGCGCGAAGATGGTGTCCTTGCGCCTCTTCTCCGTCTTGATGGCCTCCATGGTCTCCGGGTCGGATTTGATCTTCTTCACTTGAACCCCGACGCGCTGCATCCAGGATTTCATGAACCCGACGGGAGGGACGAGTTTGATGGCCACGGATAAGGGCATGGAGCGGACGACGGCGCCGATCAAAGGGAACGAGCGCACAATGGCCGCCGAGGCGCGTCCGCCCGTGTTGACGAGCTTCCAGGTCATGGCCCATTCCGGGTGGTGGATGTAATCGTACGTCCAGCCGTACGAGCACTGCGTGAGGACGTCGGTGGTCAAGGCCAAATACACGGCTTCCAGGTCCAGCACTTCGCGAGATCCCTTGATCTTGTCCAGTCGCTCGCACATGACGGCCAATTTCTCCTGGATGACGGGGATATTCGCGACGATGCTCGCCTTTGAGAAAAAGGGGTTCAGCGCCCCTCGTCGCTTCCGATGGATCTCGTGCTCGACGGTCATGCCGCCGGCCGTGGGCACTGCAAACCCGCGTGTCCACCACGCCCATTTGTCGAGTTTCAAGCCGTACAACTGGTCAAAAAACTCCGGGTCGTGAATGTGCACGTCGTCCGGGTTGGTGCGAATCACGGGGCCGTATTTCTCGTGCATTTCCTTGATTCTCCACACGTATTGGTGGCCCTTGAAGACGTCGTAGTAGGTCTCATACCAGTATGAAGCGGCCGCGAGTTTGGAGCCGGGAAAGCGTCGGAGAGGGTGGAAATAGATCCTGTAGACTGCCAGGACGAGGTCGTAGCCGACTTTGGCCACGATCAGGTAGCCCACAAGGCCGAGCCATGTCGTGCACAGGCCGAAGCTGATGTCTTGTGGTGACACCATTTTTGCAGCCTTGGGGGTGTTCTTTGTTGAATTATGTTCAGTATCCGACAGACGACCTGCTCCCCAATGCTCGAAGAGCAGCACCTCTGATCACAGCACTGGGAGAAGGCGGTCTGATCATGTACTACTGCGAGTATTGCAATGCTCACTGGGGTCCAAAAAAATAGGGGGCAGGTCGGTGGACGGTGGGGGGCAAGGAGTCGTGAACTCGGCAGTCGGCGCCAAAAGGTAAAATGTCATTACAGCGTATTTTCCATGGCTTCACCCTTGACCTGTGCCAGCACATGGCCCAGCACATCCTGATCAAGACATGTCAATACCCGACATTTACAGCAGCAAACGCCCCTGCACACCGTTGACGATGCATATGCAGGACGACCATGGTCGAGGGATTGCGGACATCGGAACAAGCACCGGCAAGCGAGTTTAGACGGGCTGCCCAACTACCATAAAAGGGAAAGACCGCCTCGGGTGACGAGGAATCGAGGACAGAATTGACACGTCAGGCCTGATCGGCGGAGATTAAAAGAGACTCGGTTTCAGTTTGGAATGTTCATGCATGTCTATGGTCTTTTTGTGGGGTATCCATCATGAGCAGTCGAAGTCTTGAAGTCTTAACGCATTCAAGCATCTCCTTCGAGGCTTCGACATGTCGGTCGTCCTGCATTGTCGTCACATGGCGTTGAGGCCAATATCGGTCTTCCCCTGTGAGCGTCACTCGTTTCCGTTTCTCACGATTATGATCCAAAGAGTGTGTCAGTGATGAAACAGTCTCGTGCTCTGCTCGATGAACGTGATCCCCAGATTTTCCGCCGTGTCAAATACAGCGCCGTCGTTCTGTGAGCCAGTCGGGGCGGCAATGTATTTCACGCCACTTCGGGCGGCCCGGTATACGTTATCCACGAAGGGAAACTTGGTCCCATGTTAGTTGAAAAAAATAGTGGTCGTGGAAAAATGCACAAAACTTACAAAAGCATCACTTGAGACCGCGACCTCGCCGAGTTTGTCCAACCATTGCCGTCTCTCTTCAGGTGAAAAAGGCTTCGGCACGCACCCTTGTGCAAAATTGCTCTCATAATCCTTGGTCTCGAACTCGCTCTGAGGCGGGACCTGTCCAGAGCACAGCATGTCGATGGCATTGGACTTCTCCGACCGCTTGACACCCTTAGCCCACTCTATCGACAGCGTGCGTTCATGGAATCGCATCCACCAGTTGTCGGCCTTGTCGCCTGCTAATCGCGTGCAGTGAATGCGACTCTGTTGCCCAGCACCGAGACCAATGACTTGCCCGTTTAACGCGTAGCAGACAGAGTTTGACTGGGTGTATTTCACCGCAATGGTCGCGACGGTAAGGTCGCGCAGCGCCGAGGGCGACAGTTTTGGAGAATCTTTCGGCCGGATAATGGAGTTGAATGTGTCGATGGGCGAGATTTTGACGTCGTTCCGCCCTTGCGTTAATTGGACACCGTACACGGTGCGTGTTTCTTGCGCCGGAGGTTCGTAGTCCTCTTCCATTTGGAGTACCAGGTATTTACCCGCCTTCTTTTTCCTGAGGATCTCGAGGGCTGCCGGCTCATAGCCTGGCGCAATAACGCCGTCGGAAACTTCCCGGGAGATGATCTTCGCGGTGGGAACGTCGCATTTATCGGATAGAGCAATCACGTCGCCGAAGCTCGACATTCGATCCGCACCCCGTGCTCGAGCGTATGCTTGCGCCAGACCGGAACTCTCGATCCCTTCGATATCGTCGACCATGTAGACTCGTCGCTCCTTCTCATTCAAGGGTACCGCGATAGCGGCACCTGCAGGAGAGACGTGCTTGAAACTTGCAGCAGCTGGAAGCCCTAGGGCTTGCTTGAGTTCTTTCACCAGGGGCCAGGCATTCAGACAATCGAGAAGATTGATGTAACCGGGCGAGCCACCCAAGACTGTGAAGGGCAACTTCCCATTGCGCACGAATGCAGCTGCAGGTTTCTGGTGAGGGTTTGCGCCGTATCGCAGGGAGATCTGTTGCACGCCATTCCCGGCATATTGTTTACGGAAGAAGTCAGAGATGGCGGCGTCGTAATCGGCAGTATGTTCGAAAGCTTTCAGAGCATATCTTTGGCGACTCTCCTCAGGGATGTCGCCTTTATCCAATTCCTGAAGAAAATGGTGGTAATCTTCGGGATCACTCAGAATGGTTACCCGAGCGTGGTTCTTGGCTGCTGCTCTGATAAGAGTGACTCCTCCAATATCGATTTCTTCTACGGCTTCAGGGATGGTCACGTTGATCTTAGCAACAGTGTCCTTGAACGGGTACAGGTTGCAGACGACAAAGTCGACTTTGTTGATGTTCTGGTCAGCGAGATCTTTCTCGTCCGAAGCGAGATCTCGAGCCAAGATCCCTGCATGGACGGCCGGATGAAGGGTCTTGACTCGGCCGGAGAGCATTTCGGGTGCTTTTGTGATAGCAGAGACATCTCTAAGGAGCATTAGCGCATGCGGAGGGTTTGGGCAAGGCAGGAAATCCCGCACTCAACATCGAACCCAGCCTCTCGGATCATTTTCGCCGTGCCACCAGAAGCGAGAAGGCGAACATTCTGCTTGATCAAGCCTTTCGCGAGATCGAGCAGGCCAGTTTTGTCATAAACCGAAAGAATGGCTAACAGCGTTAGAACAAGGTGTGAACGGTGGAGAGCCCACGTGGCAAAGGTGACATGCCTATCTTCTGGGAAGCCATCGTACTAGGTATTGAAGACCACTCAGTACTTGGAGTTTGGAGATTTGGAGGGGAGAGTGACTGTGTTGGTGAATGGGTCGTCTACGGAGCAAGCCACATTGGTAGACAGTGATCAGGGGTAAGTTCTGCAGGAGGCTTTTGCCAGAAGAACTTCAGATGGATAATTAATTTTGTTTCTCGTCAACTCCCGGAAATGCAAAACATGCGATGTCGGCAGCGGGCAAGAAATTTCAATATTGCACTTGAAGGTCTACATGCTCGACAGGATGCCAAGCCCTACGGAGGAGTATTTTTTGGGAATATACATTGATCTGACCGGCCAAAACTTCCGAGGTTGTGCTCGCTCCAGAGCCAGAGACGTCTCATCAAACTTCCATGCATTGATTGACCGTTACGCCCCATGCACCCATGTGCTCCCCCACTGAATTCCTTCTGACAATCCTTGTGTCGGCGACTGAGCGTGTGGAGAATATATTGCTTCCTCCGCAAGGCATATGACATTATGGAGCGATCTGCGGCCTCGTGGGTGGGTGGCGCTCACTGAAGTGGCGGCCAAAAGTGTCTGTGCTGTGCTGGATGACATCAAACATGGGATATCGTCACCATCGTCCGAAGTCAAATCGCCAGATCGATCTGCGACAACAGGATCTGCCTTTTCCTATGTCACTCCAGTACATAGTCCTCCTCGAAGCACATGTATCGAAGTTGGTTATCTGATTCGTCTGTCCTTTAGACGAAGGCCCTGGTTCAGCCTGGTCAGAAAAGGAGGCTTGAGTGAAGAGTGATACATGAATTGCATTGTGAGGCCGCCTGAAAGCTACTCCCAACGTCATGAGCTCGGACTCCCTTCATCCCTCTGCTCCGCTTTATAGCTGCACAATGGCAGATATAATCTACAGCTCTCCTTCCGAGAGCCCTTTCCATCTTGACACCCCAAAGCCGTCCTCCAGAGGACACTGTAGCCGAATTAGTTCTGCATCCATTTCCATAACCTATCACCATGCAGAACCAAGAAGTTGAAGAACCTAGGCGAGATTGGGTTGCTCCAACCGAGAGAGACATCTCCTTCCAAGGTCTGCCACGCGAGCACGAGTCCCTGCTCAAGGAGACTTTGTATCCCGATGATGCTTACAAGGCAACGACCTACTGGGCCGACCTACCTGCTGGAGAACGGACGAAATGGGTGAACAACCAACATAGCTCGGAGGCCAAGCGAGAACTGAGTGAAGTCTGGCGAATGTTCAAGGCTGATCCTCTGGATCCAATCAACCGATATCTCCACAACTATGCTGTCACCGGCGTCGGATTCTTTACTGAAGGCTATGTCTTGTTCTCAGTGGGGAATGTTTTACCTCTCTTGGAAGTCGTGTGGCCTCAGTGCTTCAAGAAGTATTCAGTCTGCGACAAAACCATGGTCCAGGCCATCAGCTACATGGAGATTCTGGGTATCATCTGTGGGCAGATCCTGGTTGGTATCATTGGTGATTGGGTCGGTCGGCGATGGGGCTTGATTCAAGATGCCCTCATTATGTTGACCGGAACCATTCTTCTGACATCGATGTGGGGCGTTACGCTGTCCGGGTGGACAGTCATGTATGGAATCAGCCTCTTCTGGTTCTCGATTGGAGTTGGTGGCGAGTATCCCATGACCTCGTCTACCGCTATGGAAGGTATCCATGGCCAGGCAACCTCAAGGAATGACCGATTGCACCGAGGTCGATCTGTGGCATTGGCCTTCTTGATGCAAGGCTGGGGACAACTAGGAAACCAGCTGGTGCTTATCGTGGTTATGCTCATCTTCAACCACAGTCTCAACCCCGGCTACGGCAAAACCGCAGCACAAGCGACCTTTCGAATCTCCTTCGGTATTGCCGCACTCTGCCTCCTTTACTTTTTGTACCTTCGTGTGTACAAGCTGAAAGGCGTGGACGCGTCTCTGAAAGCCTCGAGAAAGAAAGGTCAAGTGACTGGATATGACGTGACGTCCTTGAAACTCACCATGAATCACTATTGGCACCGACTTCTAGCCACGAGCTTATGTTGGTTCTGCAACGACTTTCCTTTCTACGGCAACCAGATCTTCAGGAACGTTTTCCTTCAAATTGTCACTTCCAGTTCCAGCCAAGTAGGGACGTTGTGGCTCTATAATCTGATCAATATCGGCTGTGAGCTTGCTGGGTATTATATGGCGGCTCTCTTCATGGATCACAAATTTTATGGACGCAAAAGAATGCAGGCTGTGGGGTTTATCATGTCCTTCATCTTGTTCATCATCGCTGCAGCGCTCTACCCAGAGCTGGACGTCAAGGGTCCAGGAGGAAAGGCTTTTGAATTTATCTATTTTTTCAGCAGTTTCTGGATTCAGTTTGGACCCAACTCCACCACGTTCTTGGTGGCGGGTGAGGTGTATCCTGCGCCCATTCGAGCTACGGCGCATGGGTTTAGCGCCGCAGTTGGCAAGTTGGGAGCTCTGACTGCAACTGTCATCTACAACTACATCGGAGGCAGAACCAAGTTTTGGGTAAGTGATGGATTGTGTGTGTGTGACTTCTGAGAGGCGCGTACTAATAGATCCAACAGGTTGTCAGCTGGTTTGGCCTTATTGGCTTTATTCTCACCATCTTATTTATCCCCGATACAACAGGTCTCGACCTTCGTGAACAAGAGCGATACTGGCATTTTGTTCGGGAAGGACGACCTCAGGATTATCACGGCATCGCGATCCATCCCAGACATCTCAGTTGGTTTGAACGAGTCGTCTTGAAACGGCACCATCAGTATAACCCGGAGTTGGATCGTCTTGCTCGGATCAATGAGCTCAGAGAATTGTACGAGAAGGTCGAGGGTGCCAAGGGCGTTGAAACAGATGATGAAAAAACTCTCCCGGGAACGAACCAGGCTGATCTGGACGACAATGTCAGCAGGTACTTTGACATGGAGCGGCGAAGTGTGAAGAAGCCTAATTTGTAACTGTCAGCGTGTGCGAGAGAGATGTAGACTGGACGAGGTCTGCGTCGATGTCCTTCATTTACAAAAAGAGTTTAGACGACACAAAGACATGACATTTGGATGGGCTATTGATGTACACTATCATTTGACGAATAATTTGATACGGGGAACATAATAATGGCAATTTGCAAGCTACCTGTTCTCCCTTCATGGGTTTGTAGGATACATGAAGATGGATTCCTTGATTGTCTAAGCGAAAGATGGCGCTGCGGAACTGGAAACCCGGAATCGGCGGAAAAGTTATTCCGATTTGTGCTGCGTACCAGCCGAGCAGCCTTGCATGAGGTGCATAGACATCCCCCAGAGACTCCAGGGCTAGAGTGCCCTTGTTACGGCTCCGTAACTGGGAGCTTCTGATGGGCCTCGAAGCTCGTGAGACTCTTCACTGGGGTAGCGAGCCAGGTAGGATTATGCTCTACCTAATCATGCCGGGGAAATTCCACAATTGTTTGTTGTTGATATTCCGCAAACCCGCGCCGCTAACCCCTATATATCGCTAATCGTGTCAGGGGAACAAACATCACCCTGAGTCAGAACAGCCAGGTCGGGAGAAGGTGATACACACACTCCGAATGGCACGGATCCCGATTTCGGCAAGATGGGTGTGTTGAGGTGTGTTTGTCTGTCGATCCCAAGATAGCGCCCGTCACGAGAGCTAAGCCTCAAGCTCCCGCTTTGGCTTTTTCGCCTGCTTCTCACTTTCACTTCTATCTCACCGCAGTGCACATGAATTGCCAATATCGACCTGGTCCGGCAGCTTGCCATTGTCGTTCTTGAATAGGACATGTCGCTGTCGCTGTCGCAGACCTGCCAGCCGCCAGGCACCATTCACTCTGCACGTCCCGCTTCACACCTCATTCCACTTGCCGCATCATGTGACGCATGGGTGCCTGCCTGCCAGTGGTTCACGCAAACTCAATGTCACTGAGGCTCATTCACTTTTCTGGCGACGACTGGTTCTTCTCACATAGACGTTTCTTCAAGACTACCTTGATTTTTCACGCCCTGATTCGCACCTCGAAATATTCTTCTACTCGCCTCTCTTTGACCAGATATTTCTCTTTCACCTCATCCATACTCTAGTTCGAAATATTCCCTCTATCACTCCTCACACAGACTTCGCTGGTGCAAAGTGTGAAGAGCCATCATGTCTTCATCAAAGTCAAAGCGTAATCGTACACTTCCTCACCGCAATCGGCAGCATGTCCTCCGCCCGATCGCTCAGCCTCAAGGCCCTCCTGCTCCTCGGCCACAAGCAGAGACTCGTCCTCCACCCTCTGGCCCTGTCGCCAAAGCCACCAGACCTGCACCTTCCCGATCTTCGAAGTCTTTCCCTTTCTTCAAGTTGCCTGGCGAGATCAGGAACCGGATTTATGATCTTGTCGTACCCGAAGCTCGGGTGATCATTTCAGCCAACCATCCTCAGAAGGAACTTCAGCTGATGAGGCAACGAGAACCCTGCAAGAAACACAAGCCACCACCGCATCGTCTTCTGGGCCAGTTCACCGGCAACGCAACCGAAGCCTCTCTCTTCCTGACCTGTCGTCAAATGAACCGAGAAGCTGTGAGGTTTATCTATTCTAGAACCACTTTCTGCTTCGACCGTGTTGTCGTGTTACGGAGTTTCCTCAAGACCGTTCCCGAAGAAGCCCGCGCCAGTATCCGCGCCCTGGAGATCACCCACGTAGGGTACGCGGAACCGAGGCTGCTGGACGACCGAAGGTGGAAATTGAGACACGATACGAAATGGGCGATGGTTTTACGACAGATCCAGCATCAGGTGACCGCGCTTCGACACCTGAGGCTCAATGTCACCTTCTTCGACTGGCCGTGCCGACTTGATGTCTCTGAGAAGTGGGCTCGTCCTTATCTGGAACTTGCTGGGGAGGGCGGCCTGCTGCGGGTGGAATTTACTCTGGCTCACGAGTGCTTCCATGAGGTTAAGGTAGCCGCAACGGCCAAAGAGCTGGAAAACAAGATGATGAGCGCAGAAGGGAAAAAGGCGAAAAGACGCGAGGCAGAGATGGAGAGGAAGCGACTGGAGGAATCCAAACGCAAAGCCACCAGGGCCTTGAAGATCAAGCTTCCGCTTGGCGACAATCTGCCCAACGTGAACTTGAATATGCCTACCAAGAAGGTGGTGAAGAGCAAAGGGCTGGAGCAATACGCGGTGAAAGAACCTCCGTGTGCATATTGTTGAACGTGGTATGACTTGGCGCTGGGGGTGGACTTGAGACGGATCTGTTGGGTGCGTTGCCATCCACACATGGGCAGACTATGGGGAGGATGAAAATATTCGGCAAACTATGATCAAACAGCATTATTGAAGGCTGTTTGGCGCAAGGCGGCTAGGGAAAGCCGTGAACGGAGTACGGAGGAACGTGATGACTTTCCATGGAGGGGGAGGGACAAGGGATAGCTGTGCTGTTTATGGGTGAGAACTGGAGGCCAACAGGACAAAAAGAGCAATACGGTGCAGTTTTCGATAGAAGCGGGCATGCATGATCTCTGGGAACGGATGGAGGTTGACTGCCAATCACAAATTATTACGGGACACCAAAGGATAGCGGTGGGCAAAAGAAGTACAGAGTATGCAGATACCTACCTTACTATGGGGGGCTACCTAGAGTATCTCGTACATAGGCTGGTACCTAGTTCCAAACATAGAAATTCCAGGGTGGAAGATCATGCCCAGGGAATCAGGGACCAGAAACTCGGCGGCTGCAGGTGGCAGCTGGACGGACCAAAAATAGCCAAATGGGCCGAGGGACCTATACTTGTAGCTGGGTGCACGGCGGGTGCAGGGCATGGGACGGAGGAGGGAAGTGATGAGGGGACATCCCCACTGCAGCCGGACTGGCCTAGAACCTGCAGCGGAAAGCCACTACTAGAGGACCTAATACCACACCAGTCCATTAGCGAGTAATAATGCCTTAGGTACCTACCTAGGTAGGTAGGTAGGTAGGTATGCTACTCAGGTGCTTGCTGGGCATCCAGCTGCTATCCTTAGGGCATCCATGCCTATGAAGACTTCTAGCAGTGACTTGCCCTGTAAATGGCTTCCGAGCACCTCCCACCTGGTCCCTGCATCCCCGGTATCCGATCTTTGTAGCAATAGCCAGTCGTGCCAGTCTTTGGCTCGGCCTGAGATAGCAATCCGCATGCCACCAATGCAGTGGGTGCAGCGCATCACTTGATTGCCACTGGCCGGCAATGTGACGGCCCAGTTCTATCGCTGCTCATTCGCCACGGCGCGGCGCTTCGTCAAGACCTCATGTCCAATCAACCCGCTATTCTTCACCTTCATCACCTTCGATGCCCCTCCTGGCTGCATCCTCAGTGCTTCTCTCATCAGTCCTGCTCTCCCATCCACCCGCCTGTCCAACCCCAGCATGCTGCTGCTTGCTCCCATCTGCTCAAGCGCCCAGGTTAATCCCCCTCTCCCCCATCTCGGAAAAGAATGGATTTCATCTTAACATAGTCAAGTTCACCTGGTGGGAAACGAAAGGTAAAGCCGAAGCTTCATTTACTACTCAAAGGCAGGCCTCGTCCCCGTCCTCTTCCCTCCTCCTTCTCACCTTCACCTCATCCTCCAGCCTCGATCCTTCGCCCTCTCTCCGTACCCTTATATTCATATACCCATAGCTCGCGCAGGCTTCGCTGAGTCGTTGTTTCTTTTCTTTGATCTTGGCCCATTGCCCCCCCGAGCACCGCCCTGCATTGCCCGCCTTACCGCAACTCCCTAGAGGAGAGGAAACTAAGAGACCGGTTGACCGACCTCAAAGCGCCAATTGCGACCAGGCCTGTTCCACCCTGTATTGTCTGGCAGACTACGACTTGCACCATTCGAACAAGTCACACTCGGGCCCCGCGAAGCGCCTTGGGTTGTCAGCTCACAAGACAAAGTCGTCCAACCTAATACTCGGCCTGCTCGCCCATCAGCCTTCTGTGTCTCTCTCTCACCCTTCCCTCCACCACCTCACCACCGTTGAATCTTTTTTCTTTCTTTGCCCTAGATCAGAGCTGGTTCTCGACGATATAACAAACCATCATTTTTCATATAACGCTCCCTGCCGGATATCGAGAGAACATCGTCCTCCGCTGGTATATCGGTTCCCGTCTCACGTCAGCATCGGTCTGCTACCGTCAAACCTTCCGACATACGAAAGGGCATCTGCAAGTGCACCACCAAGGCGTGCTCCGATCAACTGCCACCTGCTGCTTGGGGAATCCCTGTCCAACGCTACACAAGACCGGGCTGAGTTTATCGCCTCTCCGATAAAGAACTGGTCCTTTCCCTCCCCACCATGTCTCCATCAAACTTCGCGCCTGTGTCTCCCATCGACATCACTGTCGACTCCCAACGCCGCTCAAACCACACTGGACGTTTCGCCAACGATCCAGACTTGGACGAAAAATCAGATATCAAAGCAACCACTCGCTCGCTCCGGACGAATTCAACGGCCTCGTCACGCTCTTCCCTTCGTGGCGGCGACAAGCGCGTGAGGCGGGCTCGCTTTGCCGAAGCCACCTCTGTCTTCTCGCCCGCCTCAGGTCCTGGTGAGAGTCAATCACCCTTTGCCGATCCTCCTGCCACCGGCAACATGGAGAACGGCTTCAGCAGCTCCAAACCATCAGATGTGGGATTCGGCTACATCGCAGACAATCAGCCCGTCGAGCAGACGGTCTATATTCGAGCTGATCCCAATGGCGCCGCAGGACAGCCTCTCAAATCCGCCTTGAAGACACCAGGCACCGCATCCAGAATGTTGAACCCCCTCTCTCCAACGTTCCGAGAAGAACAGCTCCTCGAGAAGGAGGAACTGAAGACCGAGATCCAACAGGCCAAAGATCTGGTAAGTCTTGTCCTTCTGCTCTTCTCCACTCGCTCTCTAACCGGGAATGCAGAAAGTCAAAACCCGCGTACGCATGGCCAAAATGGTCCTTCGAGGCGTCAACTTCTCTTGTTCCCTCATCGTCCTCGCCATGCTTTCGACTGCCCTGACGATTTTCCATGCCACCAAAACCCTCCCGGCGCGCAACAACCTGCCCCCGTGGGCGTCCGGCCAAAAGACCTGGCCGCAAATCGTCGTTTTGTCCATTTCCTGCATCTCGCTCCTCTTCTCCATCATCGTCATCCTGGCGTACTGCCGTGGTGGACACAAGCGCGCGGAGAAGGTCGCCGTGTATTACACCATGTTTGCGGTCGGGTGGTTCATGTTCAGCACCGTCATGTGGCTGGTCGCCGCGGGCATCTTGCACGGCAGCAAAGCCTCGGGCAACGGACAGGATCTGTGGGGCTGGTCGTGCAAGGAGAACAAACGGCGCCAACTCTTCCAAGACGACATCCACTACGCCCTGGTGTGTCGACTGCAAGATTGGTCCTTGATCTGCTGCATTATTGAGGTTGTGGTCGAGTTGATCGTGATCGCCATCTACGGCATTGTCTTCTACCGATTCTGGAGCAAGAACCGACTCCGGAAATCCATGGACGCCCGCGATCGCGCCCGCACCGATCTCTACCTCGCTCAACTGAGGACCCAGTCTGCACCGAACACACCGGGCTTCGCCCAGACACCCCGAACTCCTGGGTTCCCATCTGCGCTCAAGAGCCTGGCGCCGCGGGACATGTACTCGGCCGCGGAACAAGGCGTCGCCGTGTCTCCGACACAATTCACCACCTCTCCACCCAGCAACACGACTGCATCGCCATTCAAACTTCAAGCGCCACCCATCCGAGTGACGAAAGCGACCCCCGTCTCCACCGCGACCGAGGGCATTCCCTCACCGAGACTTTTCTCTTCCTCATCACCGCCTCCTCAACCGCCCATGTCTCCTCCGCCAGAAGAGCGGATACACCAACACATGGCCGCGGCGCCCGGGGAACAACAGTACGAGGCCGTCCCGATTCCCGGGGCCAACTACGTCCCGCCCAGTTACAACAACCATGGGCATCCGGGGCAGGCGTATTAAAAAAAGAAACGGAAAGAGATGACATGTCTCGGCGGAGAAAGGGGGTCAGGAGGATCGCCTTAATTGGGATGCATCATATTGTACAGAACTAATATAGTGGAGGCCAACGGAGCAGGTGTTTGTACGTGGGATGAAATATCATGAGCGCTTACTTGTCATTTTTTACAAAGCTTTACCAGCCTTTTCTGGATCAGAAGGGGATGAGGAAAACCAAGGTGCTAAGAAGGGCAGGACCAAACCCACAACCCAAGACTTTTTGTGTATCTAAGTCGAGAAACCCCTTCTTTTTTTCTCTTTTCTTGTTATCCTTTCCCCTTTTTTAACTTCTTGGGAACACAAAGAAATCTTTTTGGAATGTAACCATCCGCGAAGCGAGATATCCTCCCCGCCTCTGTGATCGAGGTTTTTTCGAATCGAAAATACAAATGACACAAAATGTGAACAGGCCATTTTTATCCCCAAATCCATTCAAATCTGAAAAGCAAAAAAAGAGTCTGAGACTGAGATGGCAATATGTACTCGTATTAACTCGTCGTACGGAGGTATAGTATATATAATACACCCCTCAAAAAGTCCTTTGCCCCCTAGGTGAGCGGTTCAGGAACCGCCTTAAAAGCCCGTATTAATTAGACCCCTTGAACAGCCCTTGACTAATAACCCGTTCCACCTTCCGGGGAGGGGGCAAAGTGATAACCACAGTATCTGTCGTCTATTATCCATCAATCCTTTGGTTATGTCCCATGCCCCTCC